GGAGCTCCGTACATTCTGGAGGGATTAGTACCCGAAGAGACGTACCACTTCCAGTTCGCCGCCAGAAACGATGTGGGCATGGGCGCGTTCCGTAACGCGGACTCCATCACGATGCCGAGAAGATCGGAGCCTTCGGAACCGAAGATTTTGGTAGAGACGAACCGAGGCAAAGACGAAAATACGGTCAACAGAGAGGACGCCATAGCGATGAGTCCATATGCGGATCATTTCGAGTTAAGGTGGAGCGTGCCTAACGATAACGGCGACCCAATTTTGTACTATTTGATCAAATATTGCATTGTAAGTATTTTTGTTGGTACTAAATTTAATGAAGTTTCGGTAATACGTAATGTGTTTTAATTTTAATTTTAGTTTTTTCTACATTAGGTGTAATTTTCTTGGTCTCGATTATTTCTATCTCGTATTCTCATTTCTAGTTTCTTGTTTCTTGTATTTCATGTCTCATTTTTAAATTTTGTTTATTCATTTTTCATTATTTCTCATTATTTTCATTATTTTCATTATTTCTCATTATTTCTCATTATTTCTCATTATTTCTCATTATTTCTCATTATTTCTCATTATTTCTCATTATTCTCATTATTTCTCATTATTTCTCATTATTTCTCGTTATTTCTCATTATTTCTCATTATTTTCTCATTATTTCTCATTATTTCTCATTATTTCTCATTATTTCTCATTATTTCTCATTATTTCTCATTATTTCTCATTATTTCTCATTATTTCTCATTATTTCTCATTATTTCTCATTATTTCTCATTATTTCTCATTATTTCTCATTATTTCTCATTATTTCTCATTATTTCTCATTATTTCTCATTATTTCTCATTATTTCTCATTATTTCTCATTATTTCTCATTATTTCTCATTATTTCTCATTATTTCTCATTATTTCTCATTATTTCTCATTATTTCTCATTATTTCTCATTATTTCTCATTATTTCTCATTATTTCTCATTATTTCTCATTATTTCTCATTATTTCTCATTATTTCTCATTATTTCTCATTATTTCTCATTATTTCTCATTATTTCTCATTATTTCTCATTATTTCTCATTATTTCTCATTATTTCTCATTATTTCTCATTATTTCTCATTATTTCTCATTATTTCTCATTATTTCTCATTATTTCTCATTATTTCTCATTATTTCTCATTATTTCTCATTATTTCTCATTATTTCTCATTATTTCTCATTATTTCTCATTATTTCTCATTATTTCTCATTATTTCTCATTATTTCTCATTATTTCTCATTATTTCTCATTATTTCTCATTATTTCTCATTATTTCTCATTATTTCTCATTATTTCTCATTATTTCTCATTATTTCTCATTATTTCTCATTATTTCTCATTATTTCTCATTATTTCTCATTATTTCTCATTATTTCTCATTATTTCTCATTATTTCTCATTATTTCTCATTATTTCTCATTATTTCTCATTATTTCTCATTATTTCTCATTATTTCTCATTATTTCTCATTATTTCTCATTATTTCTCATTATTTCTCATTATTTCTCATTATTCTCATTATTTCTCATTATTTCTCATTATTTCTCATTATTTCTCATTATTTCTCATTATTTCTCATTATTTCTCATTATTTCTCATTATTTCTTATTATTTCTTATTATTTCTCATTATTTCTCATTATTTCTCATTATTTCTCATTATTTCTCATTATTTCTCATTATTTCTCATTATTTCTCATTATTTCTCATTATTTCTCATTATTTCTCATTATTTCTCATTATTTCTCATTATTTCTCATTATTTCTCATTATTTCTCATTATTTCTCATTATTTCTCATTATTTCTCATTATTTCTCATTATTTCTCATTATTTCTCATTATTTCTCATTATTTCTCATTATTTCTCATTATTTCTCATTATTTCTCATTATTTCTCATTATTTCTCATTATTTCTCATTATTTCTCATTATTTCTCATTATTTCTCATTATTTCTCATTATTTCTCATTATTTCTCATTATTTCTCATTATTTCTCATTATTTCTCATTATTTCTTATTATTTCTCATTATTTCTCATTATTTCTCATTATTTCTCATTATTTCTCATTATTTCTCATTATTTCTCATTATTTCTCATTATTTCTCATTATTTCTCATTATTTCTCATTATTTCTCATTATTTCTCATTATTTCTCATTATTTCTCATTATTTCTCATTATTTCTCATTATTTCTCATTATTTCTCATTATTTCTCATTATTTCTCATTATTTCTCATTATTTCTCATTATTTCTCATTATTTCTCATTATTTCTCATTATTTCTCATTATTTCTCATTATTTCTCATTATTTCTCATTATTTCTCATTATTTATCATTATTTCTTATTATTTCTCATTATTTCTCATTATTTCTCATTATTTCTCATTATTTCTCATTATTTCTCATTATTTCTCATTATTTCTCATTATTTCTCATTATTTCTCATTATTTCTCATTATTTCTCGTTATTTCTCATTATTTCTCATTATTTCTCATTATTTCTCATTATTTCTCATTATTTCTCATTATTTCTTATTATTTCTCATTATTTCTCATTATTTCTCATTATTTCTCATTATTTCTCATTATTTCTCATTATTTCTCATTATTTCTCATTATTTCTCATTATTTCTCATTATTTCTCATTATTTCTCATTATTTCTCATTATTTCTCATTATTTCTCATTATTTCTCATTATTTCTCATTATTTCTCATTATTTTTCATTATTTCTCATTATTTCTCATTATTTCTCATTATTTCTCATTATTTCTCATTATTTCTCATTATTTCTCATTATTTCTCATTATTTCTCATTATTTCTCATTATTTCTCATTATTTCTCATTATTTCTCATTATTTCTCATTATTTCTCATTATTTCTCATTATTTCTCATTATTTCTCATTATTTCTCATTATTTCTCATTATTTCTCATTATTTCTCATTATTTCTCATTATTTCTCATTATTTCTCATTATTTCTCATTATTTCTCATTATTTCTCATTATTTCTCATTATTTCTCATTATTTCTCATTATTTCTCATTATTTCTCATTATTTCTCATTATTTCTCATTATTTCTCATTATTTCTCATTATTTCTCATTATTTCTCATTATTTCTCATTATTTCTCATTATTTCTCATTATTTCTCATTATTTCTCATTATTTCTCATTATTTCTCATTATTTCTCATTATTTCTCATTATTTCTCATTATTTCTCATTATTTCTCATTATTTCTCATTATTTCTCATTATTTCTCATTATTTCTCATTATTTCTCATTATTTCTCATTATTTCTCATTATTTCTCATTATTTCTCATTATTTCTCATTATTTCTCATTATTTCTCATTATTTCTCATTATTTCTCATTATTTCTCATTATTTCTCATTATTTCTCATTATTTCTCATTATTTCTCATTATTTCTCATTATTTCTCATTATTTCTCATTATTTCTCATTATTTCTCATTATTTCTCATTATTTCTCATTATATCTCATTATTTTGATCACCCTGTAGAATTAAAATCAGACGATTAAAATAAAAATCTGATGTGTCCAACACATGACTTTCCTATCTAGTTATATAAATGTTTAGAGGATAAACTAAATATATACATTGTCCACATACATCTACCTCGAAACATTTTTCTATAGATATTCATGGAAAACGAAAATACTGAAAAATTTTAATTTCCTACAATTTTTTCATTACGGTCCATTTTAGAAAAATCATGTATAAACAAAAATTATAGAGATCGATATCGCAAACAACTTTTATTTCAAAAACTTTCATAATAAAAATCAGAATTTTGCACATTTTGTCAAATTTCTCGAATACGGACCATTTCAGGAAATTTTTACATAAAACAAAAATTACAGATAATAATATTAGAAGTAACTTTTATTTGAACAATTTTCCTCTCCAAACATAAATAACAGATATATTCCATAAAATATAAAAACGGCCTCCCATAAAGTAGCCCCCCAGATGTTCCGACTTTGTCCAAAATCTAATCGTTTCACGTCAGGCCGAAATAAACCTTAAGTTTAAAATTTAATGTTTTTTTCTTTATCTGTTTTTGAGTTTTTTTCAAAATTCGAAATTTACACATTTTCTCAAATATCTCGAATACGGTCTATTTTAGAGAAATTATGTAGAGAATAAAAATTATAGAGAATTATATTACAAACAACTTTTATTTGAACAATTTTTATAAAAAAATATTTTTTTTACATTTTGTCAAATTTCTCGAATACGGACCATTTTAGGAAAATTTTGTATAGAACAAAAATTATAGATAATAATATTAGAAGTAACTTTTATTTAAAGAATTTTCTTCTCCAAACGTAAATAACAGATATATTCCATAAAATATAAAAATGACCACCTATAAAGTACCCCCCCAAATGTTCCGACTCTGCCCAAAATCTAATCTGCTCATAAGACGCTGAAACAAAGCTTAAGTTTAAAATTTGGTGTTTTTCTGTGTATCGGTTCATGAGTTATGCGTTATACAGACACACACACACACACACACACACACACACACACACACACACACACACAGACACACAGACACACACACACACACACAGACATCATCGCGAAAATAGTCAAAACGGATTCAGGGGACCTCAAAACGTAAAAATCCGTCGAAAACTCGAGGTCGAAAAAAATCATGATTCCTATACTTTCCTTATATCTGTATACAGATAGGAAAGTAAAAATTATGTTAAAAAATTTAATTTACAGATTTATCTATTAATATAGGTGTTTGACTATTGGATTAACTTTTTGTGTCCAAAACTTCTACAAAATTCAAAAGTTTGTTCGTTTTGTGGAATTATTGCTACAAATGTATTAAAAATGTATAAAAACGGTAAACGGTAAAGTTTTTCAAATGATCTAACTTGAAATTAAAAATATATGGGAGTTGGAAGTACTTCAACTCCTGTGAGTTCGGTTATATTTTTTCCTATAAATATTTAACACATTTAAATCAAAATAATAATGTCTTAGTAGTAGCGCCATCTATGATCAACGTGTCGCGACTCAAAACATTGTATCGATTTTCTGTTAAAAACACCTGCAAGTTGAATAGAATTGATATACAGAATGCTTAACGCTTACGCAAGCCGCCACTAGATGGATTTGTGTTATAGATGTTTTAAGACAGTAAATTTTTTTGTCGGAAGGTAATTCTGTTCGATAACTTAAGAGGGCGCTAAGGTTTACAGTCTTGAATT